CCACTGATCCACTGAACCACTGAACCACTGATCCACTGAACCACTGAACCACTGATCCACTTGATCCATTGAACCACTGATCCACTGAACCAGCTTTAGATGTGAACATGTGCAGACCTGCTCTGAGAACATGTGGAACTTGATGGAGGTTGGTGTTTTGGACTGCACCGGTACTGGTGGTACTCCAGCTGTTCCTCAGAACTTTTATTCTTTGAATTGTTTCAAGTGTATGTGCACACACGCACACACACGCACAGTTGCGCTCCTGGCTCTGACTTGTGGAAACTTGGTGGAAGTGTGAGTTATTTGGTCTTTCCTCGTCTGCACTGAAGTCTGGATCTTACTGGGTCTGGGTCTGGGTGTGGGTGTCGGGAGGGGGTGGGGACAGACCCTGCGTGGGTGTGGACTCCTCCTCGGTTCTCCTGACACCCCCTGGGCCCCAGGAAACTCCCTGCACCCACCCCACCCGCTGCTGACGTCATGTCTGGAGGCAGGCTGCGGGTCTTTGCAGGAGTTCTGAGTGTTCAGAGTCAGATCCGGATCCGAGGGTCCAGCAGCGTCAGGAGGACCCGGCAGCTCACCTGAGGTTCGGCTGGACACCTGGAGCTCTCCTTCATTCACTTGTAGAAACTTTCTTCCTGTCAAGTGAAACTTTTCTCTTCTTGTGGCTCAGCTCAAGTTTTACCTTCATCCAGGAGTTCTGACCCGCAGGAGTAAAGAACCGAACCTTTTTTCTTTCCTCTTAAACAAACTGGTTCCGAGCTTGTTTGTGGACATGTCTTGGACCTCACTGGGCCTGGTCCTGTCCTTCTTCTTTCTGGCTCGGGTCGGTGGTTCGGAGAACCGGCAGGCGGGCTGGAGCGGCTTCAGGCGGCTCTACTTGCTGCAGCACGGGCCGGCACCGGTACCTGGGCCCGGTTCGGCCGAACATCCGCTCAGGTATAACGTGCAGCTCGGCGGCTTTAGTGGGCCGGTTCGGACCCGCAGGATGGGGAACCAGCAGGAGCAGAACCAGCAGAACCAGCTACTGAAGCTGTCCGGGTAAGAGCCGCTGAGGGAGGGGTTAATGGACCAGAACCACTCGGTCCAGAATTCTGTCCGACCCTGATTAGACTTCTCTGACGTCACATCAGGACTGAAAGTTTTAGTGACATGAAAAGTGGACTTTTCTGAGTGAAACCAGTTCTGTTAAAAACTCACCTGGTGCTCGGGTACTGGTTTACAGACCATTGTTCTGGTTCTGTCACTTTTTTTTTTTTTTTTTTAATTTGCAACAATCCATCAAAACAATCAGCTCATCAATAACTGATTTCCATCAGCAGCTCTGATTTCTGATCAGAAAACTCTGGAGCTTTTAGAAACATGAACCAGGAAAAATAAAGTTGGACTTTATGACCAAACTGGACTTTTTTTAACTTTGGGTGGTTTTTGCACGAGTCACATGCATCTCTGCGCACAAACTCTTACTCCACCAGTTTAGATACAACTGACAGCTCTGATTGTTGGTGTTTCTGTCAGAATTCACTCATTTGGTTTCCTCTCAGACGCCTGCAGAGTGGGTGCACACGTCCAAACTCTCACTGATCCATCATCCCAAAGCTCAGATATTTCTTTTCTATACAGGAACTCATTTTTGACTTGTAAATGGACTGTACTTATATATCACCTTTCTATCTGATCAAGATACTCGAAGCTTTTTACAATCTGTGCCTCATGTACCCATTCATACAACACTCTACTAGATCTATACAAAGATAATTGAACAAATCAATCTAAAGAGACTAATCAGAGCTTTATCACATTCATACACTGATGGGACACACATCAGAGGCTGTGAGGGGTTCAGTGTCTTGCCCAGGGACACTTTGACATGTGACTGCTGGTGGATTCGAACCCCCAACTCTTGCATTGGAGGACGACTGCTCTAACCACTCAACCACAGCCGCCCAAGAGTAACTGTACAAACGTTTATACGCCTGATTAATAAAACATAGAAGGAAAACATATACACACACACACACACATACACGTATATATATATATATATATATATATATATATATATATATATATATATATATATATGAGGTTTTGAAGTATTTGCTCAAATTCATTCAGAATTTTACGATTACATGTAGAGTACACTTTCAGAACATAAAGACTTCACATTTGTGTTTCATGTCAACAACATGAGGAGTGTGTGTCTGAGCTTGGCTTCAGACAGAGCAGGGACGTCTGCCCACCCAGTCGCAGGTTGTGAGACCACCTCATTAAATCTCTCACGTGTCTGCACCGTGATACAGTTTAACAAACAGCCACCTGCCTGTTGAAGGTGGCCACAAGTTCAAGTAGGTTTATTGTCACTTCACCACATGTAGTGCATGAGGTGGAACAAAATTGCGTACAGGGTCCCAGTTACATCCAACTATAGCAAAAATATAAACAGTAAAAAGAAACAGTAAATAAGGATCTAAGAGATAAACTAAGATATACGCTAAACGAATGCCAGATGATACGCTAAAAGATCTAAGATAGTCAAAGTTTCTTTATTTGTCACATGCACCACATGTGGTACATGTGGTGGAACAAAACTGTGTACACAGTCACAGTTACATCCAACAAAAGTATAAAATGTAAAAGAAAAACAGTAATAAGATCTAAGATATGAACTAAGAAATACACTAAACTAAAAACACTAAGCACTAGGAGCGTAAATCAATACACCAAACAGCAGCACGGACATGAGTCTGTGCGAGCAGATGTGGACGAATGAACACAGCAACATGAAACAGATCAGCAGCATAAGATCAGCAGCATGGATAATCAGCAACACAAATCAACAATCAAGTGGTATTACAGTATTTTTTTCACAGTGATTATTCTGGTAGGAGATTCATGAGTCTAACAGCCTCAGGGTAGAAGCTGTTCCTCAGTCTAGTTGTTCTACACTTAATGCTCCTCAACCTCCTTTCTGAGGGGAGCAGGGCTAAAAGTGTGTGTGCTGGGTGAGTGGGGTCCTTCATGATGCAGGTGGGCCTCATCCTGCATCTGGAGGTGTAAATATCTGTGATGGTGGAGAGACTGACTCCAACATCTTCTGTGCAGCCTTCACCACTCTCTGCAAAGCTTTTCTTTCTGCAGCTGTGCAGCCTCCATGCCTCCAGCCTCACTAAACACGAATAATGTAAAACAGTACGGTGTAACAACAGCAGCACGAACATGAGTCTTTGTGAGCAGATGGGTATGAATGAATACAGCAGCATGAGCAGAACCAGATGTTTGGCATCAGCAGCACGTTTAGAATTCTGCCGTGGTGGTGGTACGGTGGACGGGTGGTTGTCAGAGATCCACAAATGTATGTCAGCCATGACAGATACTGTACATTACCTGCACATCAGACCTGGGTCTGCGGAAATTTTTTGAAGGAAGACCTGCTGATCACTTTAGATATATAACTTTTCAGTAACTTTGTGTGGCAGCACAACTATTATTATCTGAATTTAAAGAAGGTGATTATTGTCCCAGTCAGCTGTAGTTTATCGTTATATGTAGCAGAGTGACATGCACCCTGTTAGAGAGGATCACACGGGTACATATGGACATTATTCAGGTTGTCACCTCTTGACAAAATCTGGTTGTCTGCAAAAATGTTTGGCCACCTTTACAATAAAGAAGGCAAACAAATCTCAAGAAAAATGAAATTCAATAAGTTTAAGTTTCACTTAGTTTACTATATACTGTACAAATGTTCTCAGTCAGCCATCTTGTGGACTTATTTGAATTTTCCAAGCTACACAGTGGCAGACTCTTTCAGGAGCTTCCTCGTTCTCCTCCTCATCCTCTTCCTTGTCATCACACTTTGCAAGACAGGAACTTGATAGGCAGAGATTAAAACAGAAAATAAAGTAGTTTTATTTCATTGTTTTATGCTGGATGCCCTTCCTGACACAACCTGGGCTTGAACCTGCAACCTCAGGATTACTAGACCATAGCATTGACCACCAAACTACCACCACCCTCCTATACAGAGTATATATTACTTTATTTATTTTTTGCCATACTAACAGATTTCTCTCCTAAAATGATCATTTCATTCAAAGAGATTATATTTACAGGATTTCACTTCATGTAGTAATTTAATACTATTTGCTTTTCATATTTGATCATTTATTAAATTACATTTGTCCTGGTACAGTTACTGTATCTCTCAGTATGACAGTAAATACCATCAATTTTAGCACATCCAAACAACCTCAACACCTTGTTACTGCTGAAACACTAAGGATCTGAATGTTGCAGATATTTATGATAAACTGCAAACACCTGACACTGACTCTCACAGAGAGACAAACCTTTGTGAGTTTTTGGGGGAAATGAAAGGTAAACAGAGACACACATCCATCCATCCATCCATCCATCCATCCATCCATCCATCCATCCAT